GTTTTGTGGAATCAAAAACTAAAAAAAAAATTAAACAAAAATAATATATATATATATATATATATCTATATATGAACATGTTTATAAAACATATTTTTTAAAATGAAAACATACAGCAATCTTTTTTTTTTATATATAAAAAATTACAAAAGATCAATGCAATGTCACATATGGAGATTATTTCTTTTCAAAACAAAATAGTGATTTAAATCCTTGATTTTTAGAAAAAACAGTGTCTTTTCTTTTTCAGATTAAGAATGTTATTTATTCATGTAGATCAAATCGATATATACTTAGAGTCGAATTAAACAGGATCGAATTTCCTTTTTTTTTTTTTAAGAAAATTTGATTGATTTTAAATCATTGTTATACTTTTGAAAAAAATGATGCATTTCTATAACAGACATTTTGAATAATCTGGCAAATGTGAGTTCCATCTTCTTTCTTTCTTCTTCTATATTTTGGAAGGGCCATTATGTTCAAATTTAAATTTAATTTAAATCAAAAAAAAGAAACTTCAAATGTGGGGTGAAAAAAAAAACTTAAAAATTATCCCTTTGATATTATTTTAATCTAATATTTGATTGAATGAATCGATTCAAAGGAACTTTCAAATTGATATGACAGTTTGAATTATCGCAACAAATATTTAAAAAAGAGGCACTACCCATCTGACTGTTGATTTTTTCTAAATATTGACGTCCATATTGTTAGGGATTTGATTCTTTTGATGTGACCTCCATCTTCTGGCTTTCTCCTTCTTTATTTTGGATAAGAGTCATTCTCTTGTTCAAATTTAAATTTCATAAAAAAAAAATTAAAACTTTTATTTTGTGCTCCTCAAGGGACCCCTTTGATCAAAATGAAATATACTTATCCAAGTACCCTATACATATACAGTTTCAGAATATATATGTTTATATGGGGCTCTATCTGCAAAACCCTAGGAGGAGTTCGATAACAAACAGACAGACAGAGGCTGCGACTGTTGTGTTTCTCTTTCATTCTAACCTGATGAAGCCGAAGACAGGATATGCTCTCGGCGAAACGCGTCGTTAATAAATTTTCGACTTGTTTTATCATCAAATGTTCCATCTTCAGCTTTGTTTCCGATAGTACTATATATCCTACACACACACACACATTATCATATATATATATATATATATATATATATATATATATATATATGTGTGTGTGTGTGTGTAAAGAGAGAGAGAGTGTGTGTGTATGTCGAATTCATTACATTTACTGACGTGCAAACACCTTTAGAAAAAGTAATGAAACCATGTCTTCTCCCTAGAGCTATGGATTAAATAGGAACAGAAACTTCTTCCTAACAGCTATGGGTTAAACAGTAACAGAGACTGGGCTCTTTAGCATTGGTTGGCAAACAGTCTAGGAAAAGGCCAATACTACATTCAAAACCTGGCGAGGGCTTGTTGCCTCCTCGTGGTATACTTTTCGCACCTTTTCGGTCTTTCCTAAAAGTCTGGATGCTTCCGCACAAGCCTTCAACATGATAATCAAATCATGTACAGGTGGTTTGGCTGTTCAGTTCTAGTAGCTAACTTGTTGGACCCTCATAAGTCCAAAGCGATAGGGGGGGGGGTCATTCATAGACCGGGTGTAACAGCAAAATTGTCCAAATCATGTAACAGCATAATTGTCCATCCTTAATAAAATGTTTCATTGAAGAAAAAAAAAAAACACTAAACTTGTTTCTTTTTTTCTGTTTTTCAGAGAAGACGTTTAGCCAGCAGTGCTTGGAAGGAAAGTGTGTAGAGTGTGGTCCGCACACCACATCACAACGTTTCTATCAGTGACTGGCTTCTGCAGCAGGTTTTGGTCAAATACAATGTTCCTCGGCTCCGAGAATCAGCATATTTCTCGCAACATTTTCCTCTTTCTAAAACTCAGATCTCACTTAAAGGGAACAAAATTTCAAGACGTCTAGAAAATCCAAAAGAATTAGACGATCACTTGCTCGTTATCATAAAAAAGAGTTCCAGAAATGCTTCCATCAGTGGAAACGATTCTGGATAAAGTTTTAGCAGGCTTCGCCCGCTCACTATTGCTTCGCAAAGTAAGATATATTCACTACTCGAAATATTTGAAACAAAAATTTTAAATGAACATTTCATTCATAAATTGGATTGTTATAGTTAAGGAAAGTTTTACAGACAGACATACATTAGACATGGCACTTGGAACTAGAACAGGAAGCGAAATAAGGGGTTTAGTTCGACAATCCAACCGCCTGAAGAAGGCCGGAGCGTACAACGGCTGAAACGTTGTAACAAATATGGCGACAAAGATGAGGACAATGTAAATAGTGTACATAATACCTCATCTCAGAAATATAGACAGATACTGAAGGGTGATAAATATGACGACAAAGATGAGGATAATAGTCTGAATAATGTAAATAGTGCACATAATACCTCATCTCAGAAATATAGACAGATACTGAAGGGTGATAAATATGGCGACAAAGATGAGGACAATAGTCCTAATAATGTAAATAGTGTACATAATACCTCATCTCAGAAATATAGACAGATACTGAAGGGTGATAAATATGGCGACAAAGATGAGGACAATAGTCCGAATAATGTAAATAGTGTACATAATACCTCATCTGAGAAATATAGACAGATACTGAAGGGTGATAAATATGGCGACAAAGATGAGGACAATAGAGAGATATGAATAGAATTAGATAGATAGATAGATAGATAGATAGATAGATTAATGGGTATTTCAAAAAATAAAATGTGATGCGTTCGACCTTTAAAAGGACTTCTTCAGACTAAATTATGATTTCTTATTGATGGATACATATATATGTTTAGGGAGAGAACAAAATACAACAAACGTCGGTTATAATTATACATCGAAATAGGCACTGAAAATGCATGGATGCTTAACATTAATTATTTTTAATCATTTCACTCCAAGCAAGGCATTAAAGCCACTAAGACACAGTGAGTGTGAAAGAATAAGGAAAAGATAAACATTACCAAAGCGCGACAACAATAAAAGAAGAGGAATAATGAAGACAGTAGATAACGATTTAATTTCTTGATGATCAAAGTTCGCTGGAAAGCAAGAAGCCGGAAGAGAGTTCCACGTGCGAGAAGTGCAAGAAAAGAAATTGTTAGCAAAGAACTTATGGCTACATCTAGACCTAGTACTGCTCTTAAATTCATAAAGTCTAGGTACCAAAGAGGAAAGTTCATCAGAACAATTAACATGAAAATATTTATAGAAAAAGGTAAAGGGAAGCTACGTTACGGCGGCAGGAAACTGATTGAAGCCGAGATGCCAGGTCAAGACCAATAACACTGCCGATTTTCTTTTATATTATGAAGAATCTCTAAATATATAGCAGGAGCACCAGAACATATGAGGCAGAAACATTCGAAACATAGTTGAAAGGTAGACTTATAATTATCTCAGATAAATTCTGGAGAGAAAAATTGTCTACATTATTTACATTATTCGGACTATTGTCCTCATCTTTCTCGCCATATTTATTACACTGTTTCGGCCGTTGTACGCTCCGGCCTTCTTCAGGTGGTTGGAATGTCGAACTGAACCTTTTATTTCGCTCACTGGGGTAGACTGTTCTAGTTCCACGTGCCATGTGAAACGCAACTAATTAAATACTGACTGATGTTACTCTACGTATGATCATGTGAAATGCATTTTTCTAGTTTCTAAATTAATTCACCCGTCATTTTTTTACAAGTTGATTTTATAGATCTCTGCTATTGCGAAATAACGGTTCCAATGATTTTCAGTAAAGGATTTTGTTTTAAAATTTCTTACTTTATGTTGTGAGGGAGAATATTTCCCTACAAGTTTGGGCTCAGCCGTCGGGCGAAAGACATGAAAATAAACCTACATCAAGAGGAGTAAGCAGCAGGAGCAGGAGTGGAAACAGTCTTTGCTGAAAACAGTTATTCCTTCACGGCTAAACATTGACTTTAGTTTCTATTTTACATTGTTTCCGTGTGCCAAAAGGTAATAAACTTGTTAAACCAATCCTGGCTTTCTCCTTTTGTTTTTTATAACTCAGTTACAACACTTTATCAATAAAATAAGTCTTTGTCCCGATTGCAGTAATTTTTAAGGAAGCATTCTATTTGAATCCGACCAAAGAGAAGAACGTTTACTTTAGTAATTTCCGTTTACGTTGAGATGTTGAAGACTGTCTGGGATCGAACCAGTTTTATTATTTTTAATTTATTTTTTTTTTATTCAATTTTTACATCACCAGTGAATTTTCCATAAAAGTACGTATTACAATTATTCTTTTTCTCTTTCTCTCTTTTTTTTTTTCTTTTTTTTTTTATTTTCTGGATCCCGTTTTGTTTTTGCTGTAACCTCTTCATTCAATCTTCAACGCATTAAAGAGAACGTTATATTCACCTCCCATTCTCCCACTTCGAAAAGCCATGAATCCACTGCTCCCTGCACTCGGCCAAGTTACCGGATATCTTTAAAAGATATTCTGTTACTGCCATGTTAAATAGTTGACAGACAAAAAATTTGGTGAGTGGTTACTTCAAACAATCACTCCCACATAACTTTACATTACCTGACCAGGCAGTTGCAAAAAGCGAAAATGTTTCTTGTATGGTCAGGGTTGACGTACCACCCTCATTATGGCTTGACTTCGGGAATAAGGATTTGGGGAAGTTTTCTTAACTGTGGTACATCGATTGCAGGAAACATGTCGAATCACCTTAAAGTAATGCCACGGTTAGGTATCTGAGATCTCAAGCTTCTCTCTTGGAATTTTATTCTCTTAGTCAAATGGTGACTAAAGTCTATTAATTTTAAAACCAGTGACTACTAAGAGATGTGAGTTATCTCACCTAAGCATGAAAAGTGACAGGAGAACTATCTCCTCCCGTGGACTGAAAAATGAGTTCAGTACAAAATCAGAGAATGTTACAAAGACTGAGACTTATTAATTATATTAGCCATATCTAAGCATTTATTGACTTTACACAAACACAAACACACATAGATAGATAGATAGATAGATAGATAGATAGATAGATAGATAGATAGATAGATAGATAGATATGAATAGAAATAGATAGAAAATAGACAAATAGATAACTATGAATAGAATTAGATAGATAGATAGATAGATAGATAGATAGATAGATAGATAGATAGATAGATAGATAGATAGATAGATAACTATTGAATATAATTAGATACATAGATATATAGATAGATATGAATAGAAATAGATAGATAAATAGACAGATAACTATGAACAGAGATAGATAGATAGATAGATAGATAGATAGATAGATAGATAGATAACTATGAATAGAATTAGATAGATAGATAGATAGATAGATAGATAGATAGATAGCGGGTATTTGAAAAATAAAATGTGATGCGTTTCGACCTTTAAAAGGACTTCTTCAGACTAAATTATGATTTCTTATTGATGGATACATATATATGTTTAGGGAGAGAACAAAATACAACAAACGTCGGTTATAATTATACATCGAAATAGACACTGAAAATGCAAACACAATAGAATTAGATAGATAGATATGAATAGAATTAGATAGATAGATAGATAGATAGATAGATAGATAGATAGATAGATAGATAGATAAAGAAATATAGGGTTATATCGGTATGCAGTGGTGATTTTACACTGTATTTACAAACGCTTTGACCACGATAAATGTAACGAATATTAAACGATTTTTTTTTTTCTTAGAAACTTGTCAACCATCTCTTTTCAGCTGATTGGACATTAGCCTTATTTGACCTTTCTGGATATTAGTTAATATAACCGAACAATTTCAAATAAGTTCAAATCGTATATTAACATCATTTAATGAAAATTATTTAACGAAAAATATGATTTCTGTAAATATATTGAATTTTTTAATCAAGTTTCCTGGAGAAGTGATCTAATCTCTACGAAAATCAGAGTGTCCTTTGATACAAAAGTTTCACTAATAGTTACGAATCTTGATTAATAACAACTCTTTGAACTACATTGAGTCTATTTGCATACTTGTAAAACCCTGCAGTGTTGTAAAAATCTATATAATAAAGACGAATGCGAGTGTGTCAGTGATCCAAACGTTTTTGATTAAAAGGACACAACTCTCTAACTTTCAATGTTACAGAACTTTTGGAATCCCCAAGTTTTCATTACTGCAATTTTTTTCGGCGATTTTTTACGTAATTTTTTGGGACGAAGTTTTTGTACGACAACAGTTATTATGAGTTGGAAATAAATTTGGGGATAATCGTAATTAATTGCGAAATTCAGCAAAAGTCAGCCATGAAATAAAAATAATTGCTTGTACGAAAATAAAGTTATATTAATAGTGTGAGTGTATGTCTTGGAGTGGGAAACAAGTGTGAGAGGGAAATGTATGAAAGCTCTAGAGAGAGGGTGTAACAGAAGAAAGAAGAACAGGAAGGCCTATTTATAACTTTATTTCATTTGCGATAGAAATAATTTGTAAAAAGGTTTAGAAAGAAGTCAATCTATATTTTTTAAGGTTTTATTGAAATTTTATTTAAGTTTCCACATGTCCTCCATCATTAGCAATACAATGGGTAATAGGATTTTGCAGTTCACGGAAAACATATGCCAACTGATTTACAGTAATGCCTGAAATCACATTAGTTATTTTAGCTATACATAAAACTAGGTACATTAAACTTTATAACATTTTTTACAAATTATTTCTATCGCAAATACAAATAAAGTTATAAATTTTTTAAAGTGCACACGAACTTTATGGACACCTTGTATAAGATGTAAAATGGATATTCAATAATTAATAATAGTTAATTACAGTTCATTGAATAACCATATTTCTGGTAAAATAAAATATTTAATGTTCAGTCGACTCGAAAGATATTTGGAGCTTATTTTCAATAGTTTAACGTTCGGTTAATTTGTTTATAAAAGTTGCTATCAAATGTGCAATCACAACAAAAAAAAAATATGATTTATTAGACAAAAAGACTTGTTTTTTTCATTTTGAATCTTCTTCAATTTTCACTAAATATCACACCCAATCATTTCGTACTCTTGTAAAATCTTCAAAGTCGAGCAATATAAAATATCGACCCGAACTCGACCCAAGAATGGCTGAAACTGATTATGCATTCTTGTCTCTAAAAATTTTGTTACGTTATGTAAAAAGTATTTTTAAAAGGTGGAACGCGCAAATTCCTTCGCTGTTCAGCGATTCCTCTGCTTACTAAATCATATTATATTTCGGTCGAGCTGACCAGGGACGAAACGACGAATAAGAACAAAGACAAGAGCGCCAGGTGAGAACTCCAGTTTCAATTTTGTTCAAAGATCAGTGTTCTAAAAGAGATATTAAAGACCTAAAAAACAATAGGGCTTCTCTAAAGGAGGATGAAAGATACCTTTTATTTAAAAACATCGGGAAAAAAAAAAAAATTTTATCCACAATTTTTTGGTTTTTTTGGGGGGACTTGGGAAAATTTTCAAACAGGAAGACGGCAAAGAAATCACAGATCCACACCCGCGTTTTACGATTTAAACCGTAATTATTTACTGCATTCACAATGTCTCTTTTGAATTGTTCGTTTGTTTGAAGAATTATAGGCGAAAATTCCTCAACTTGGTAAAGAAATATCAAAATATATAAATTCTAACTTAGAAAAAACACGGTTCATCTCTGCAATTTAGGAAGAGAATGCCAAGTGATTTATAAAATTGAAGGAAACGAGTGATAAAGATTTTAAAATCGTAATTGCACTTTTAGATCGGTTGATTCATTTGTGAATCTGCATATATTTCTGAATAATAAAATTAATATTATTTAGATTTAGATATAATAAATAAATATATATAAAATATAGATAGATTAATAGATATAGATAGTTAGATAGATATTAGGAACAGATAAAAATAGACATAGATAGATAGATAGATAGATAGATGATTTTAGATAGATAGATAGATGTTCAATTTACGTTAGTCTTGAAGCTACTGATCGTAAGCAATTTTATTTTTCTTATTAAATTTTCTCCATTCGAATTATAGTTGCTTTTTATCACAACACTGTGGCTCGTTTGTTGTCTTCAACTACTAGAACAAACAGAGCGAAATCGGAAATAAATTAGCACAACTCGATGAAATTTGAATTCGAAGGTAGCTTTCTTTAATGGACGTCGCGTTTTCCTCTTCAGTCACGGATGCATCTAGGATCAACTAGAGCACAATTCTATCCTTCTTTCCACTTAGATTCTTCGTTTTGCCTAAAATTCTGCAGTCAGTTTTCATTATCATTCCATTATTTGTTAAGTTTAATAATTCACGAGCATCATGATTTGTGACGTCAAATATCCAGTTGGTGTAATGGATAGCGGCTCGGTTTTGAAATGAATTGGAGATATTTAAGTTCTAGTCGAATCTATTACATACGTGCTAATTTATCAAATGGATCTTCTCTCCTCAGATACATATGAATAAAAAGCAGGGCAGATCAAATTTCTATAGTGTGAATATGGCAACTTAAGATATATATAAAAAATATAAACCTACGAAAAAAATCTGCCTTAATATAAATGGTTTTTATCAAAAGATATGCAAATTCTCAAATGTGGATGGCATATAACTGACTGATTCTAGCTTTTTGTCCGAAAATATATTTGTCCTTTAAGATGCATTTACATCTGATGGTTTATTTTGTTTTACGGTATATCAACCTCAATGGGTTATTTAATACCGACGACAGGATTTATTTGCTGGTAATACTTTTTGTTTTAAAAAAAAATCTGTTTCTGGTAATATAAAAGAAAAAAATTTAACTGATGGTAATAATTTTTCAAAAAAAGTATTTCAAATAATTTTAAATTATTTATAAAATTTGGGACCCTACACACACTACACACACAAACATTCAAGTGAAACACAAACACCAGCAATATATAGGTGATTATATATTAAACCTCCTGATCAGAAGCCTTGCTGCTTAATAGTAGTTTAAAATCTTAAATTTACGGATGTACTTTAACGTTTTTACCCAGAACGCGGAAATTAGTTTAACGTCTTATAAAGTAAACAAAAAATCCAAAAACTAGAGATCATCAAGCTGGATGAGAATATTAATCTGAACAACATATGGGACATGGTAATGGTTTTTATCTTTCTACTGCTGACAATTTGGTAAATGTTGTTTCAAGCATTCAAATTTCTTTTGACGGCAGAGATAATTTACTAATGATTATTATTCGCACAGGGCTATATATATGGAGAATTGTTCAACAAATACATGTTTCAACGATAATTAACTAAGAAGTGTTTGAATGTGAATATTTTAAAATACCTTCCATTATATATAGTATAAATTTGAAATAGACGCCCCGTTTATACATATTATAATGGGCGACGGAAATGCTTAAAAAATACAAATCAAAATATAAAATAACACTGACATCTCATTTAACAGATATATTTTTTTCGTTTTTATTGAAATAAACTTGAAAATTTAAAATCCTTTTGAAATTCATTAAATGCTTTCTTCACCATTTAGCTTCTATTATGGCATCCAGACAAAGTGAACCTCCTGCAACTCTTTTGGACGGTCTTTTAGTTAATTTGTTCGAATGTGAAAATTAATCATTGTGATTGCAGTTCATATTTTCGTTAAAAATCAAGTTCTGCTACGAAAAATTTTACTACTGTCATTATCAGCAATGAATAATCAAAAAAACAGTCTGGGGAGTTATGTAGACATAAGAGAGTGGTGAAAAGAAAAAATTTTTTGATTTAAAAATTTAGTTCTCCTGTTTGGGTGGCATGCAAAGAAGTCTTGTTACCAGACATAGGGTCTTCCAGAAAGCCAAAACTTCCTATTGTTTCAATTTGGAAGAAAGACACTTAATGTAAGCCTTCGTTTGAGTCTGAATGAATATCTGTGGGAAGATGAAATATTTTGGACATATTTAATCACATAGTGATCAAAAACATTTTCGTAGACAGCATTGACTCATCCAACTATTCCATGAATCCTCTGCACTGTCCTCAATTTATACCCAAACTATCTGAAATATTGGAAAAAAAATATCCGAAAAATGCCAACATTTTACAGCACGCCGTTTCAATATTTCTGATGGAATGAATTTAAATGATGCTTTTTTTCTCATCGATGATGTCCAACTGATCCGATTCTAGGGTCAGTCAAAACAACGTCAAAAATATAACGTGTTTGGAAATCAAATTCATAAAAATTTCTATATATATATATATATATATATATATATATTCAATAAATCAATTAATTTTATTATATAAAAATCTTATATATATATATATATATATATATATATATATATATAAATATCTTATAAGGAGAATTTCCATTTGGAGGTGAAATAAAACAGATATTGTTTTTAATCACTAGGAAATTTTATATTTTCTGACATCTCTATGGGACGACACAAATTTTTTTTTTTAAAAATGTTTTACTTCAAAGAGATTTTTTTCTTATTACTCGTTTTGTTTTTCATTTTTTTTTTTATATAAAAAATTTTTAATAAGATTTATAATTATTTTTATTAAATTTTTATTTGAAATCAATTTTATAAACGTCCTGGGAATACCAGAAAGGTATGAAATTAACTTTTTCGGAAAGATAAATCTTTAGAATAATATATATATATATATATATATATATATATATATATATATATATATATATTAAAAAAATGGATATATTTCATTTTAGCTGGGTCGTGTTTGATTTTTGGTACGTTCACAATAGAAGGCCCAAATTCTCAATCTAAGGCGGAATATTTTTTTTATATATTTTCACTGTTTAAGCAAATGAAAAGCAAAGACATCAACTCAAACATTTATACACATCAAAAAAATAATTAAATAAATTTATCATTTTTGAAATTTTTTCTCAAACAAGATTTATTTAAAAATTAGATTTTTGCCAACGTTCCTGAAACTTAAAGCTTGAAGATATATATATATATTTATATATATATATATATATATTTATATAAATAAGTCCAACTCAAATTCTGGTCTGTTAGGTTGGTATCTGTCGTCAAACTGGCAGATGTACATTTTGATGGACAAAAGGGATGCAGGTTCGATTCATGTCGAAGGCAACCTTATTTTTTGGTTACAACTTCCCAAATTTTTGCAGTTTAGGGGTTAATTTCCTTATTTACAATTATAAAAATTTTAAACGTTTTATATTTATTTTTCTTATTTTATTCCTTAAAAAATGTTTATCGCTTATTTAATATATTTATAATATGAATTTGGTTCATCAATAAAGTAAATGGAAAATGTTATTGGGATATTAATCATTATATATATATATTATATATATATATAGTTTTTTTTTTTTTTTTACTTATATATATATTACTTTGTGATTTATTTTATGTAATATTTTAATACCTATATTCGAATGGTTTGAAAAAAAACTGTATTTGTACAATTTACAAATAAAAATACATTTATTTATTTGGATGAATTTAGATTAATATATTTTACTTGTTTTTTATTATTTATTTATTATACTGTATATTTTTATTTACCCTTTTCGGTTTTCGATTTTAAGTAACGTAGTATTTTTTTTTATCGTTATATGACAGTTATGGCTATGTTTTTCGTCTGATTTTTGGTTTGATTTTTATAGTCTAACTAATATTTTGGTCATAATGGTTTGTTAATTTGTTTATCATTTACTTTATTTATTTGGGTTCATTGATTTTGCTTTTTTATTTTTATATATTCTAACGGGTGTGATTTGGTAATTTGTTTGGGTTAATTTATTTTATTGTCATTTTGTTTATTTATTTATTTTTTTTCAGTTTTCGATTTTTAAGTAACGTAGTAAAAATTTGTTTTCATGTCTGCATTTTGAGATGAGCTCAGATCTTTTATTTAATAGTTCATTTTGGTCTGGGATGGTAATGATAGCTATTTTTTCTCCAAGCAAAGTTTGCAAGTTTTTGATTGTTTGTTGTAGGCTGATGATCTTTTCCTTATTTTCCATGATATTTTTGGTGTGATGTGCGTTTTGTTTTTAATTTCCCAGTATACTTATAAAGCATTGTGCTGTTCGCATATTTACTATTTGTGGAATAATTTTGTGTGCATAATTTCTTTGTTTCTAGGGTCCTTCAGTGACAAATATATATATTTATATATATATATATATATATATATATACTTGGTATATTACATTGTTATATATATGAGTGTGGGTATATATATATATATATATATGTATATAAATATATATATATATATATATATATATTATGTAATATTTTAATAGTATTTGGAACAGTTTAAAATTTTTTATTGTACAATTTGAAAATAAAAATACATTTAAACAAACTGGTATCAGGGGGAAAATTCAGTAAAAAAAATAAAAAATATAGGTGTTGAATAAAAAAAATAAATCAGTGCAAGAGAAATTTTCTTTTAACAAAAAGAAAAAATTTAACAAAGAAACTTAAATTAAGCAAATCGTAAAAGTGCTTCATTACACTAAGTAGAGTTTCTTCATAAAACATTTTTTAATAAAAAAATCCGTTTAATAAAATTAGAAAAACAGTAAGAATTGGCTCAAAAATTAGGTTATATATATATATATATATATATGAATATATATATATATATATATATATTATCTTTTATATTAAGGGCAGCAACATTTTTTTTAAAACATATTTCATTAAATATATCCAGACAAGGAAGATTTAATTATTTTTCTGTTTCCTTGTTCCAAACATCTTTATGTTTTAAAGAAGTAAAGGAATATAAAAAATTTTCAAAATTTTCGACCACTCAAAGGGGGGTTTATTGGGGGGGTCCTCTTTTTCTTAATGTCTTGACTTATTGTTGCATTTTATTTTTTTGTTGTTGTTTTGAATAGCACGTTCATTCCCAGAGTGTTGCATTTTATTAAAATATACATATATATATAATATATATATATATATATATATATATATATATATATATATATATTGAACACTAATATTATATATATATTTTATATATATATATATATATATATATATATATATTTACATTCAAAACCACTAATATTATATATATATATATTGACCATAATCTTTTATATATATATATATATACGTTTATATATATATATTTTATATATAGAATTTTTAAAATCTATCTGGATATATATATATATATATATATACACATTTACATTGATACTAATATTTTATATATATATATATATATATATATATATATATATATTTTTGTTTAATATTATATATATATATTTTGTTTAAATTTGTACTTATATATATATATATATATATATATATATATATATATATATATATATATATATATATATATATATTTTTACATATATATATATATATATATATATATTTGGTAAAAAAATATATAGAAAATAGGAAGGAACTGGTTAGGTAAATAATCCAAAGTCCCTTAGTATTTTAGTTATTATTTTTTAAAAAAATAGTTCTCGATACAAAAGTAGAGCATAAATATAATTATTTATTTAAAAATATGATTCCAAAAACGAGACATAAGAAGTTTCATTAAAAAAATTAATTTCTAGATGCCATTAAAAATTAAAAATTTTTAGATGGAACAGAGTTTTGTTTATAAAATTTAATTTAAATAATTATATTGAAGTTTTTAAAAATTTTAATTTAAAAATATTGAAATTGAATAAGTTTAAAAGTTTTGGAATCATATTTTTAAATAAATAATTTATATATATATATCATTAACCACTAATATAGATAAATAAATAGATAGATAGATAGATAGATAGATAGATAAAAGGAAATTTGAAATAATCATAATTTTTTAATTCATAGAGTTAGAAGAAATTTTCAACAGAATGCAGAAAGCACTGGACATTTATTTTAATTGACAATATATTTGGGATGCAAATTTATGCTCATTTTGGGAATCATCAGCATTGTTCATTTTGGGACTCATCAAAAGTGCTCATCCACAACTAATAAGGGTAAATTTTTTTAAAATTTTAATAAAATTATTAACAATTATCTTTGGTGTTTTGTTATTTTTATAGACTCGATATTTTATTCACGTTCATAAGGTTTGTATTGGAACTCAAGAAAAAATTTTACTTAATTAAAGGATTTTTTTTAAGAAGCCATTAACTATCATCAAAAATGTGACATCCATCCAAAATTAAATGCTGCCAATTGCCAAGGATATGGTTTAAAAAATAAGGAGGATTTGAGATAATTAAATAATTCATTTTTTTTAGATATAAACCAAACAGAATGCAGAAAGCATTGGACGATATTTTATGTTCTTTATTGTTGATAAATTGTTCTAAGTTTATTTTAAATCTATTTTTTTTTTTCAAACCCATGAAAATCTCATATTCATTATTTATTTTAAAAATGTCGGAAATCTTTTTACTTAAAAAAAAAGTTTTCTGATTTTCATCCTTATCTTTAAAATTTTTTCAAAGTTAAATTTCCAAATTTAAATATAAAAAGGTATATTTATGAAATTTTGTAAGTTTTTTAGCAATTGTTTTATAGCAATTTAAATAAATATATTAATTTTTTTATACGCATTAATTCATTTCTTTATATCCTGAAAATACCATCCCATGTGTGATATAGTAATTGTTGTGGTAGGATCCACCTAATTCAATATTGGATTACCGACCATATAAATATGGTTGGTACCGGAAGAGAGAGGGAGGAATCAAGAGATTCAACCAGAGACTCTATTGCCGACTGCGACTCAGTCAACACATTCTCCAGGAACGGTCTTACCAGGAATATACAAAAGACTATATGTAAATATTGTGTACACTTTCTTGTTTCAATACATTTTGTTCTAAGTACATTTTGTGTTTGCATTATTATTCCATGCATTAGTCAAGTTTCAACAAAAATTTTAATCCATATTTTTTTTTTATCGGTTAAAAATAAAAAATTTTTTTTTTATAGTTGATCATATAAATTATTTTGCCATTATATAAAATATTTATAAATCATTTATTATGGACTTTTATATAAAATTAATCAGATCGATAAATAACAAGTTATTAATTCCAAAATGTTTGTGTATCTGATAACAACCTTTTTGACTTAATTTTGTTATTATTTGTATTGGAAAAATAAAATGCAAAAATTAAAAGATGAGAATTTATAAAAGTATATTTCATTGAAATCCATAAAGATTTTTATGTGTTCCATGTTTTTTAATTTTTTAGAAAGATTTTTGAAATATAATTTTCTGGTAAACATTATAAATATAATATATTATATTTTAAAAAAATTTTTCATAGAATTTATTTTTTTTAATTTTTCAAGGAGATATTTGAGATTTTGTAGAAAATTTAAAAAATAAAAAAATATTATATATTTTATAGAATAATAATAAAATATTAAGTTATTTTTTTAAAAAATAATGATAAAATTATATAATTATATAAGATTAAATTTATTTTAATTGAATTTTTAGATCAAATTACATTTTTTATATTTAAAATTGCATTTAAAAATACATAAATTAATTATTTTTTTTTTCATATTTTTTTTTATGATATATTTTCATTTTTATATATTAATTTATATTTAAAGATGATTATATTATATATATAGAAAAAAAATATTAAATCATCTTGACATAAAAATTAAATATGGAACAAATAATTTTTGGTTCTATATATAAGGTGAACAGGATAAATAAAGAAAAGTTTAAAAAACAATTGCATTTATTAAGAAATAAAAAATTTTCATTACAAACAAAGAAAATACTAAACCATTGAATTTTTATTAAATGATAATACTTTTGTATTAAATTTGTGAAATTTTTTTTTGTCTTTTATCAATAAAATATCTTAAAGCTGTAAACCCAAAAATAAAATAGAAGAATGATGAGAATCCATGGACTGAATTTTGTAACGACGAATGTTTTTGGAGAAAAGAAACAAAAGGAAATTTATACTTAACAAAGGAAGAAACAATTGATTTTTTCTAGGACTTATAATAAATTAAAAGATTTATTGAAAAATTTTAAACTTATGAACATTTTCAATTTAAATAATGATTATTGGAGGAACAATTAAAAAAATGAAATTGAGGGTAAACAATGATTTCAAAATGATTGAAATCATTTATGGACGAAAAAATGTTATTTTATTAATCAGAATCTTTGAAATGAAAATACTCTGAAATATACTGGAAATAGTTAGAAAAAAAGAATCAAAAATTTACGCGTTGAAGAAGTTTAAAGATTAAATTTTAATTATGAAAAAAAAAAATGATATGATTTTTCTATATATATAAAATGATTAAAAAAAGATTACAAAAAAATATTCTGCATCAAATGTAAAAAAATGAAATTTGCCGTTAATATCATATTCAACAGCACTTATTTCAAAATATTTTATTTCATAAACTTCCAAATTAGCTCCATAAATATAAAAATCCGTGGTAAAAAAAATTTTGTTGTTATAAATAAATATTTAGTTTAATATTTAGACCGGTCAGTTTGGTTTATTCATTTATCAAAAATTTAAATAAATAAGAATAATTTCTATTTTTTTTTTAAATAAAAATTGCGGAATAAAATTTAGACATGGGCAGAACAGAAATAAATATATTAATTATTTTTTATATATATAATGTGGATAAATTAAATTTTTTAGTTAAAAATTCTTTATATAAGATACCCAGAATCTATATGAAAATATAATAAACGACCAAATACTTTTAAATTAAAACGACAAAAATTTAAAAAATGTCGAAATTTAGAAAATAATTTCCATAATTACGAATATATTTATTTTTAAATTATCTGAAATTCCCAATATTTATTAAAATTGTAAAAATTCTAGTAAAGAAATCAAAAGAAAAAAAACAACAAAAAAAGGAAAAGTTAAACAAATATATTAAGAGAATTTAATACAAACATATACAAACAATTTATATAGTGTTATAAAAGAATGTAAAAAAAAGGAATAAAATCAGTAATTTTTATTTTAAACTTCCTCTTGAAAGGCAAAAACCTGTTCTATTTATAATAATAAAATGTAGTTATATAATATAGGTAAATTGTTAACAATTATTATAGGATTATGCTAAATTTATTTGGATCTATAATTATAGCTTGAAGACAATGCAAAAATAAATAAGTTCAATATATCAAATTTAAAATGTAAAAAAATAAATAAATAAATTTTCAATTCTGAATTTTGAAAACTGAGATTTTTTAATTTTTTAATTTTTCCTTTCAAATAACGGAAATTGAAATAAAATGGGCAGAAAAAATTTATGAGCACAATATATGCTGAAGGGTAAAATCTCGTTTCCCAAAAAGGTTTTTTTAAAAATATGTATTAAAAAAAATATATTAATCAAAATTTTCAACGGTGACTCTGAAATTTATTTGTAAAAATTTTAAATATTTTTGCCTTTGGGAAAATAAAAAATAAATAAAAATATTGAAAACATAATTATCAAACTTTAAATATAAAAACATAAAATAATAGACAATCAAATAATAAATTATATCAATACAACTAAAAACAAAGGAAACCAGACAAATGACATGGATATATATACAAACAAAAAAAAATATTTTCAGAAAAAATTTTCATAAAGAAAAGAAAAAATATTTTAAAATTTTTTTCAATATTACAATATTTAAATTTAAGCATATTGCCATTCTTTTCAAATATTCGTTTAAAAGGATTAATTCCCTTGATCGTGAATTTGACAAGTGAGAAAAATAAAAAGTAAAAATTTTGGAAAGCAATATTCATAGATCTAATTTTATCGATGGAAATGGTCATTGAAACTTTTTTGAATTTCAAAATAAAATATTATTTACATTTTATTCACAATACAATTTAAGAACATATTTTTTATTGTTTTATATCAATGTTTGTATTTTTTGAACAGATTTGCATACATTTATATAAAATATATTTACAATAACAATAAAATATAAGAAAATATTATTATATAAATAAAAAATAAAAATTTTATTTTAAAAATTTTAATTTTGTTCATAATATAAATCAAAAATAAATTACAAAGATAAAATTATATATTATATATTATTTATTATGAATATATATAAAAAATTCTATATAATAATACACTTTTGCTGGACCAATATTTATTTTAAAAAATTTATGAAATAAAATTGTCCAAAAATTTTTGTTTTAAAGTTTTTTAATATCTAAAAAAAAAAAAATATATAATAAAATTAACAATATATATAAATATTTTTTATGTTATTTTTAAACAAAATATATTTTTATATGTTTGACACTACATTTGAATGAAAACTCTAACATTTTTAGGCATTTAAAACAACATATTTGTCCGCATACACAATTGTAAAAAAATCATTGTGAAAAACACAACTATACTTAAACATGAAAACAATAAACAAAAACTAAAAATTCTTGAAGCTATATACATAAAACAGTTGAAACCTAACCTGAACAAAATAAACTATGAAATCTCCACAAATATTCTTAAATGCCTATAATTGATAACAGAAGCCATTGGTTTATACCAACGGCTTCCCATACTTAATACTTCTCGTTTCACTCTCGCGTGGTCATGTGTGACGTCACGAGCTGCGGTGCGATTTTCGCTTCCGCGTCTCGTATACACGAGTTTGTCGTTGCTTTGAAATTTTTCATGTAAAAAAAAAACAGACTATCATTATTGTTTTTGTCCGTGTATTGTTTAATATATTGAAATGTAATTGTCATCTTTGATAATGGCTTATGTAAGCCGAAAGCTTAGATTGGATTAAAAAAACATGTATCAATATGGTGATTTTCCTTT